AAAAACTTTCATTTTTAACTATTTTACCACCAGACTTTCTCACCCAAATTCGTCTGCAGTTTTTTATTCATCAATATTTCTAGAAATGAACCCTAATTTTGGAGCCAACAGACAAAATTTGAAAAAATTGTCCTTCTTTTTGCTGAAAAAATTTGGCTATTTTTGTCCCAATCTTTTGAAGGAAAGGGCAGACTATAAACAGGGCTATTTTGCGAATTTGTGATGAAAAGAGGGAACTGGTGATAAAAAGGTTAAACTGTGGTTGCCAGGCTAGACAGATTGACTGCTAGTGGGAGCAGTCGTTGATTATGCAAAAGCATCGATTGAGGGCGGCATTCATCATGGATTGAAAAACAGACACTTGAAACAGTTATGTTCATTTTTAAAAAATAAATAATGATTTAATAAAAAACCATTGACTAAAATGATGTAGTATACACAGTAAGAAACAACTAGCAGAAAACTTCCCTCCATAGGTCAGAGGTCAATAGTTGACCAATCACAATGAATCATTTTCACTTGGCCAATCAAGAAACTGATTCAGCCTTCAAATTGTTTTTCAAATTTGAAATACTAAAAACATTTTTTTTTTCAAAAAAGTTGAAGCAGCTTGGAAGTCACACAGAAATACATGAAAACATCCACAATATTATCGACTGCGGTTGCCATGACTGCACAAAAGAAAGGTAGCAAATGTTGCTCAATTTAACAGACAATTTCAATAACAAAAGTCTTAAAAAATTCTTCACCATATTAATATTAAAATTTAGTAAATCTGACTATATATACATATCCAGTACCATACAGTATATTGTCACATGTTAACTATTTTTTTTAAAAAAAACAGCTTTTCAATTTTGTTAAATACATCTTTTAATTTGTTTTATACATTCCTGACATCCCAATACTTTATTTGGGGTTTGCAATAAAGAAACCCCCCCCCCCATTATAAAACGACAAAAGTTTGTGATTAAGAATAATACAGGATTCTCTACCATAAATACTGCCACCAAACAAGCATCTTGGGAAAGTTGAACTCCTGACCTTTCAGTCAGTTTGAATACCGCTTTGATTTGAGGCTTCATTTGAAAATGGCTGATCAAGACAACGTCCAAATGGCACACCTCTTGATTATTCAATACCAGATTGATGATCACCATGGCAACAAGTGACCAATTAAATTACCTTTTAGTAATGCCTAACATTTTTCACATTCAAAAGTATTCTAGTGCAGAGCACCAATCGCAACGAAACCGAATTGCATGCGCGTCTCAAGGGAATTCATAAATCATTTTCTCTAAACTGGAAGCAATAATTTCTCCCAAGAACATTGAAATCAATCTTCATTCAATGGATTCATCTTGGTTATGTCCATTTCTACCACATATCATTTTTATGTCATTGTAGAAAAATTTACAATTCCCTAACACAAGTGAAATACATGCATACACATCTAGTATTTACTGGTGCTCTAGACAATCTTGTAATTTTGAATCAAAGATACAGTCCAATGTTTTTTTTTTAAATACAAATATTTCTGGTTAAACTGAGAACATTCAACATACTTTTGTTTAAACAAGATGGATGAAATACTTTTTACAATATTTTTCAAAACATTTTGAAAACAATACAAAACACCTATTATGAAGTTTGCTTTAAAAAAAAAAAGCATTCTTCAGAAATAGGCCAAAGTCAGAAAATAAATTAGACCATGGCATCTTTTTTACAGAAATGTCTCGTAAAATAAAACAGAAAAATATGATACAACAGAATTTAAATTTAACAAAGTAATAACAACAAATTCCCTCTCTAAATTAGGTGAAACGTCAAGATGTAAAACGGTAACATTTCTAAAATGCAAGAATGAAAAGACAAGTAAGACTTGCAATAAAATAATACAGAGCACGTACTTTAGCACCGAATGCCCATAGCAACTATCGAATAACCATAGCAACATCTAAAAGCTCCAAAAAGAGAAAGCACAACGCGAACAATACAAAAATTTGAAACGATGGTGTACTCATTAAAAATGTGATCAACAAAATCCATAAAACAAATAATAGTTTTTTGTTGGCGGTTGTTCTGCAGACAGTGCCACATCCTACATCCATTTTTGGTACGGTCCTGTCACCGTAGTGAATGCATAAGATTTTAGAGTCACCAAGGAATCAGTTGTCATAGTTACAGTACGCTTTGTCGGTACCTGAAGCAATTCAGTTTCCTTAATCGCAGGAACAGGATTTTCTGTTCCAGAAGCAACTTTCGCTTTCTTGCGTCCACGAGTTGGTGTTGGTGGTAAAGATTCCCCAGATGCACGTGCTGCTTCCTCAGCTTCTAATTGCCGGGCCGCCATTTTAAGTTCGTATTCCTCCATTCCGTGGTTATTTGCATTCATGTGCTTATGCTTGTAAAAAACAAGAGCAATACGAGTTGGTTTAGTACGATCTGGTTTTCGGAGTGCTGTAGTGGCATGCAGTTCTCGTTTTGCTACTTCGAATAACACTGCACCGTGCTGTAGTGCAATTGCGACACCACCAATTTCTGGATCCTGGAAACAATGTTCACTATCAGAGAAGTAGGCTTCATCCTCTGAGGGTTGTTTCAAGTCTACCGGTGCTGGCTGCATCGCTTGTATATTGTCTTTTGGCATAGTGGAATGTGATGGTAATATTGCATTATTCTGGGAGGTGGTCTGATGTCCAACAAAACTAGCTTCATCTCGTGGTTTTGCCATTTGCATGGGCACCCCATGCTGAGGAGTTTGTGAGCGATATCCAACTTGCGGCGACATACCGATATCAGGATGCGGTATTACCGGATGCTGGGCTTCTGCAGAAATATTTTCATTACGATTTGCCTCTGGATAATGTTGTCTGTGTGCGTTAGGTTCTCCCGACCGAGCATTACTAATCCCCTCTGCATGCGGGTGATGTGGAGTCATTCCATTTGGTAAGTTGTCGTAAGATTGTTTATGTCCAGCAAATCGTGTTTGTTGTTCATCACCGACATGTCTGATGGCCTGACTGTTCGATTGCTCCTTATTGTGTTGCTCCACAAGTTCGTGTAAAGTACGTAAATCTGGTTTGATATCCTCTTGTTGTTCTAATCCTATATGTCCGGGATATCCAATTAATCTTGGATCATATAATCTGGGTGGTCTGGCAAACAATCCAAGGCCCTGGATTCCAGGAAGCCTTGCATCTGGAGGATAACCTTGCCCGAACATTGGCATGTACGGTGGATACCCACCAAATTGATAAAGACCATGCCTCATTCCTGGGAAAAAAGCTTGCGTCATTTCCCATGGAATCATTCCATTTAACATCATCTGCTGCTGTCCTTGCAAATCAGTCAATCCTGGTCGATGATTGGCCTGGAAATCAGCATGGTGCATACGAAGAAGTTCGGGTCGCACACTCAACTCTGGTCTATATTCCACTCCGCTTGGCCAGCCAGGCGGGGGTTGCAAATTTTCGTTAGCAGTTTGTTGTTGTTGTTGTTGTTGCTGCTGCTGCTGCTGTTGATGTTGTTGAAGAGCAGAATGTTCACCAAAAGCTTCAGCTGCAGTTCTTTTTTCAGCTCGATGTTCTTGGCTCTTTGGAGCCGACTGTGGCTGTGGAGTTGGCTGCCGTTGCGGCGTTGGCTGTCTATGTGGACGATTCTCTGATTGATAATAGAGTCGTTTCTGTTCCACAGCGGTGGGTACAGGCATAGGTATTCCATGTTCTTTTTTAATCTCAGTATCCTGACTACTACTATTACTACTTGTAGCAGCACTGCTAGCATTGTGCGCATTATTACTATGATCACTGCGTTTTCGTCCTTTCTTCTCCACAATCTGATCTTTCGGTTTCTTGCGTAGCTCTCTCCTGAATGACCTCAAGATTTCCAGAGATCCATTTTTAATTTTTTCCTGCTGGCCTTCAAAACTTCCATATTCATCCACTGGACTTATCTTATAAAGCGGCAATACATGTAACTGTTCATCAGCACCCCTTGGTTTAGCAATGGTTCTTATCTCTTCTCCAGTCAAGGTAAGTAACTATAAAAAACAAAAATGAACACAATGAGCTGGATTGGCTGGGCAGTGTGAATATAATTTGCATATTATTAGAAGTAGTATACTGGGATTTTTTTATTCATAAATTTGTAATGGTAATCAGTACTACGAAAGACTGATTACTGCAACATTTTGCCAATGTTCACAATAGTTTTTCCAAATTCATAACATGCTGATATTTTGACAACAGTTGAAGGGGAGTGTTTGACAACTTTTAAAAAGTTATACCAACTAACATTTACATATAGAAAAGATGATGGGAGGGGTAGCAATACATTATTTCACTTTTCTATATACAGTAAGTGTATGCATTTGAAATTGGTTGGAGAATTACAAGCCATTTTGCTCACTGACTGTTTGAATAATTCTCAGGAAACACTGTAACACACAATCTGTTACTTAAAGAGTTTCCTTTTCACCACCAGTTCCTTCTTTTTTTTCACAAATTGACAAAATAGTCTTAGAAAATTGGGACAAAAATAGACAAATTTTTGAGTGAAAACTGAAAACTGACTCAAATTTTGTCTGATGGCTCCAAAATTGAGGTTCATTTCTGGAAAGAAAATAATAAAAAAAAAAGTACAGAAAAATTTGGGCGAGAAAGTCTAGTGGTGGAAAGGTTAGAGGCTGCAGGCTAATTAGCCATATACTTTTGTCCATAATGACTTATTAGTAGTCTACTTTACTAAATACTGTGTGTTGAAGAATTTAGCCACCTACGTTTTTAACTAAACCTTGTGATCAAAATTTTAGAAAAAAACCTGGGTTATTGGAGAGCATAGAAGAGAAAAAAAACACATTTGGAAAGAAATACTTACTGTTGTGCAACCTGTGTTCATGTTATGTTGATCTTTATGGGCGTGGGCACAGAAATCCACACAGGCAGTAACACCAGAAAATGGCCGACCTTCTTCGTAACCAAGGCGACATGGTAGACTTTCCTGCTCATGTGCACTCTGATGAATAAATTAAAAACTGGTATAAGACATTTCATTGGTGGATCATGTGATTAGCTAATTTGCATAATATCCAAGTAAGAGCCTGATCAGGTTGCCACATTAAACAAAATAACCTCTAATGAAAATTCTTGTGCGAGTTCTGTTAAGTTCCCAATTTGTAGTTCCACTTACTTGGTTTGCATATGATTCTGGTGCCATTTTCTTGTATATCGGAGCAATCAAGGTAGCGAGCGTTTGCAATCTATGTTCTAACTCTTCCTCCTGTAAAACATATAAGAATACAACATAAGCAATAGTTTATCTCACACAAACATACACCATACATATTTACGATTTAAGCCAAAATTTTTAAATTCAATGAAATGATTTGAAAAGTTTATAATTCTACAGGCGCAACGAACACAAACACAAACGACTCTAGCGATGCTGCAAACACTTCTACGACAACTCAGACATCACTGTTAATCTTAAAGATAAAAGATAAATCTTAACTTACGTCTTTTCTAGAGTCTGCATTATTCCCAAGTTTGAACTTTTTTGGCGTTTTACTCCTGGCAAATTTGCACCCATTGTAGTACATGGACCACGAACAGCCAAAAGAAAAGGATGCGCCGGATTTTTCTGAATCGTAGCCTTGGCATGCACACGATTTCCTACAAAAAAGAAAGTGAACTTAAAAATAAGAGATACTTTTATGACAAATATAATAAAGCAATCTGGATTACGATTTTGTAAAAAAAAAGCCAAAATACGCAGAGATACTGCAAGATCTAGTTTTTAAGAAGTAGTTTTTAATGTTTGCTTACTCCTCATTGGTGCCACATCTCCGGACAGTTGGATTCCCATGTTTGGATAAAGTAGTCCTTAGCCAATCATATGCGTCGTTGGTTTTGTCACTACTTAGAGCCTCCCAAGCAACGATAGCGATGACAATGACAGCGGTAGCACAATGATGATTAACTCGGTGGCGAACAACGACCAGAACTTTTTCCTCTGACGATGATCTTCTTATGACCTAATAAGGAATGATAATAGGATTTGTTATGATTCCATTGATTACTCGATACCGTACTCAGTGATGTTGAACATTGCAGTATATGCAAGTGATCACAAATGATAATGATTTAAAAAAAAAAAAAAATTACAGCAATTACCCAGCACAAAAGTATTCCAAAAATGTTTCACCACCAAATAAAAACACCTTATGAATAACTTAACAATATGATTACCATAATTTGTTCGTAAAAATATAGTGGAACATTTTGAACAAAAATCACTCAGTATCAGGGTTCTTTCCAGGGCATTATAAAGCAGGGGTTCCCAACTGTTAACTATATTTACAAAATATTCAACACCAAATTAAATCACCTCACTATTACCTTAACACTACAACCGCCATGATTTTTTTCCACTGAAACTGCAAAATTTCTTTTTTGAAATTTCTTTTTTTTATTTTGTACTAATTAGACATAACTTCCCGATTGTTCTCAGGTCTTTGGAAGACCTTGATAAAATTAAGTAGTTTCATTTTGTTAAATGTGACCAAAGTTGACTTGATTTCAGATAACACAATCAAATGTTTGTTTGTTTTTGTTGGCACCAATCCATGATTTAGATACGCATGTCTAACTGAAGACTGTCAAGTATTAAACAGAATAATTCACAACAACTATAATTAATAAAATATATTATTTAGTTTAGTTTACGTTGTTATAACCTTTATATTTTTTTAAGAAATGAAACAGGTAAATTGTAAAAACAAAAAAACTAAGGATTATATTTCAACGAAAACGAAAGAAAATCCGAAGTGTAACAATAGGTCCTATACATAGCTAGCTGTCTGACAGACTCGTAAATAACAATAGAGAATCCATGCCACTTTGTCAGTCAACTACTACTGACCTTTGACTACAATCATTCTTGTGTTTATTTTCTAGTTGTATATGTCACTATTGAAGATCAGTTGAGTACGACTGTTGTTGACTATAAAAACTATTTTTGAGACAATGGACCCAGACTTGGGTATCACGGTTTCACCAATAAAAATAACTCACCCATTTAGCAATAGGACATCCCATTGATCCTTTGCCTTCTTTTCCTGTGTAGATTACTTGTTCAATTCGAATTGCTTTACCAGTGTCACCGTATCTATCGATAGTAAACACAATTATCTGACTGAGTATTCACAAAAATCTATCAAATTACGATCATATTGTTGTAGTTTGTGGTTTTGGTGTAACTTTATTTTTTTATGCATTTTTCAATATTTTAGTATGATTTTGTATCAAATGGGCATAATTTCATAATAAAAGTTGACTTTTACGCTCAAATAGTTAATTATTCATGACATTTAATTTTGCTATTTTTTCTCAAAATCTAATAAATTAAATCAATGTGAACTTGTACAATAGAACATGGAAAAAATTTGTGAATTTAAAACCAAGTGAAGATGCTCAAAATAGTGAAATTAAAAATGCTTTTCACAGCATGCATTCCTAGCTGACTAAAATGATCCACCAGGGTGAAGCGTAAATTGTCCTAATTCAAGTTAATCTTCGAAAAACGTAAACAAGTTTTGTTGCTTCAAGTCACACACTATTCATAAATAAAATACCAGTGACAACCAATATACAACCATCAGCATGTCAATTTCTCTCTGTTTTATATTACACAAAAGATATTCCATAATTCAATTTGATTTTACCTTTTTTCCATTATTTCCCTAATTTCTGCAATTGTCCGACCAGCACCTAGTTGCGTATAATACGGCCCCTCTTCTTTTTCGTTGGGGTTATCTGAAACGGGAAGCAGTGGAGTCATATATCTCATCTAGGCATGATGATTTATAATAATATTATAAATTGTCCCTACTTACAGACAGGCATTTTAATGAGTGTTTTACACCCTGCGTGTAGATAGTGTTTGCATTTTGTCTAGGCTTGCTTCTACAGTTTTATTACAGTGTTACACTGTATAGATACTCGACATGGGGTAAGACTCTTGTGTGGTAACAAGATACCATGGTAACATGATACCGAGATCCTGGTAATGTTTCGTCAAAATCCAATGATACTTTTTGTAATGTATTATATATAGGTAACATATTTGCAGCATCTGGAGCACATCTTCAATATGGTTGCTTGAAAGCCAGAAGGAGTTGTTGCGGTTGTAGCTAAAGTACACCAAGCCACTTCATCAACGATATATTTATATAAACTCAACGTAAGCAATTTCATGGATTTTCGGAATTATTGGAACCTCGTACAAATACCCCCTCTAATTCAATGCATTAATAGCTACTGTGTTCCCCGCTGATATAATATCAGCAACTAAGATTACAATTATTTAATTTCCAGTTTTATGTATACCCGTTGCATACTCGTAAGTTCAAGCGGATGTACGATAGTATAGTTTGCCAAGTTAGTAAACAAACAAAGTCTTTAACGCAACCACAAATGTTATTTCATACTCCTTTACAAATAACATTGTAGACTAGCATTTTTATAGCAGATTGTGACAGGTTTACAACTGTTTTAGTGGTGAGCTGGTGTTTGCGATTTATATTTTCTAGGGAGATACTGGTGGTCAACTTGGACTGACATGTGTAAAGTACAACTCTGTGTGAATCACTTTTTTTTAGCTGGAATTAATTTTTGCTGAAGAGACCTTTGGTGTTTTGTACAGAGTATATTTTTTCACTCATTTTTTTTTTACTAAATGCAAGAAATAGGATAAAATACCAAAAATAAGGTATTTTACAGCAACTAGACAATAGTGTTAATTTATTATATAAAAATGTTATATTTGACAAAAATACTAATGCGATTATTATTGAAGATTTATTTTTAACTACGGTTTTACTCAGAGTATACAAGACTTAGTTTCGGACCTTATAGACACAATCAATCATGTTGAGAACATGAGAGCCACAAAACTTGTTTTTGGTCTTCAAATAGTGTTCCATTTACTCCCGTCATCTCAGAGAAGCAAAATCAAGTCACATGGTCTTTCCGCTCTCAACAACATCTCAGCCGCTATTTGCGTCTAAAGTCAATTGCAGATTGAGATGGCATATCGATGGCAACAACCGATGTTACAAAATCTGATGTTTAGTCAGTACAAAAACTTTATCAACTTACCTACACAACCACAGTTAGGTATGACAATTTTTTCTTCAGTTTTGTCGTCTTTTATCGTTAGCTGATGTGTTGGAGTCTCTTCCATATTAGAAGACGATGAGGCAGTTGATGGTCTGGGTGGTGTCCTTAGAAAAGGTGATTTAGAACGTGGAGGTGTCCGTGGAGAATCAACTGGTGTTCGCGACACCAAAGGAGACTGTTCACGCCTTGGACTTGGCCCTCTAAATGAGAAACTCTCGGGAGAGTTAGTTTCCATACTTCGTGGACGCGGAGGAGGAGTAAAAACATTTGTTGGTACAGGTTTGGGGATATTTTCCATTGTACGGGGCCTTTCAATCACAAGTGGTCTTGGTACATCTAAACCAAGTGTCCTTGGAACATGAATATTTCTATTTTTATTATCAAATGTTTGATCTATTTCCATTGGGACTGGAAATTTCTGTGGATGTTCAACACTAGAAA